TCCAAGGGACAGCTCTGCTGGTCACCCTAAAGTCCCACTGAGTTTTTCTTCTTAGCCACTTGGTCTGGAAACAGTATTCTTTTTAAATATTCAGTGGTTTCCATGGTATTACTCAGTGATTTAGGCTTAAGCATGTGCATAAATCTTTCTAGGAATGGGACTCACAGATCAGACTTGTCATCACCTACAAAGGTTGAAATTAATGTCCACACCTTGTAAGCACAATCATGCACCACAGTTCGCAACAGCAATAATTACACTTATTTATTTGTGCTGTTTAGAAGCCCTATTGAGGTCTCACTGTGATAGATGCTGTCCCAAGAAAACAGCAGTCTAAACAGACAAGCCAAAAGGGAAACCTTAGCTTTCCCATTTTACAGATGGGAGAAAAAGCACAAAGGACACTTTTACATGTGCGATGGGGATGGGGAGAGGGAGGCACTTTAATTAGAGTGGCTCCAAGAGTTTAACAAACTTTAGTTCAAATCCTCCCATTGCCATTTTTAAGCATGGGGATGCTGATACATGAGATGTGGGAGGCTGTTGAAGTGCAGCAATTGCCATGCTCCAGCATGAACTGCTATCTCAGTCCAGTGTTTCAACCCCAAAGCCAACCTTTCTCTTCAGTTGCAGATGGCCTACTACCAGGTATAAACATTGTCGATTCAGACTTCAACAAACCTATATCATGGAACAATTCAAGAGAGGGTGGATGATTCCTAATGAGGTGTATAAGGATTGTAAAGGTTTTTTTTCAAGGGGAGAGAAAAAGAGAGTGCATGAGTGAGGTACATGTATCAGAACAAGCAGCCTGGTAGAACCAGGATCTGGAGAAGGAAATGAAGGGCTGTGGAAAGTGAGGCTGGGATTAAGATGCGCTAAGGGAACAGATGATGGAAAGGGGCATGACAAGCAAGTTAGTAATGAATTTCTCCTTTGTGTTCTTTTAGGAGCTATATGTGAGGTCTTCTCATGCATTAGAGGAACTTGTTAAAGAGTTGTTTCTTCAAAACCTTCCTAGAATAACCGGTCTCTCCTTAAGAGAATGTGAACTTTTAAAAGAAGAATGGCAGGAGAATTTGGTCCTTCAGTTGGAAAAAGTGGACTCCTATAGACAACAACATTGGAAGCTCTTCCAGGAACAAATACAACAAGAAAAACAGGTACAGTTGAAAAATGTGATGGGTATCAATATTCTCAAGTCATAAATTCTAAAAATAGTTATATAGATTACCATATTTCTTCCATACTTCATTCACCTTCCGCCTCCCCTTTTCACCCTTCAAAAACAATAGGTATAATCTTATTTGGGGCATGTTGTGTATGTAAGAAAATATAGTATTAAGACAGTCATGCATGTATGTGGGTTTTTTATTTCTATGTAGACTTGTAGAGTCTAAATTCAGAGTGGGCAATTTCATAGTTTCATAGTTTCTAGGGTCGGAAGGGAC